ACGAATCAATATCAACTAGTTAGTCAAGGTAGCAACTAATTGATTTAAACAAATTATTGAATAATTACCTGTTAATTCCATGTGCTTCGTGATATTTTTATATAACTCTGTTCATATACTGTAAAACACAATGAAAAAAAAAAAAAAACAAAAAAAAAAACAAAAATAAAAAAATTAAAATATTAAAAAAAAGAAAAAAAAAAATAAGTTATTTAATCGTATCATATCATACCTGTAAAATATCACATTCAATAACTTTGGAATCCGCCTAACATAAATAAAATAAGGCTGTTTGAATTTAATTTTCGTTTAACGTTATTTTGCGTTTACACGGAGGGATTAAACCAATATAATTAAACATAGATATCAAAAAATTCCAGCAGCTATGCTGGCTATTATATTAATCAATCTGTCACTTTTATTTGTTTAATTTTTGGGGAATCTCAGGAGATGGAGAGGGGATAACATTAAATGAAAAGTCAATTTCAAATGGCCTAAATTTTATTACAGTTATAGTATTAATAAAGAAAATTATTAGGTTAAATTAGATTATAATATTATCAATCCATATTGCTATTTTTAGAAATAGATTGAAAAATTTAACAAAAAAATGAAGGAATCGAATCGTCATGTTTTACTCATCCTAGATGGTGCTTCTTCACATGCCACTACTACTCTTACTCTAACTAATACAAAGGTGCTCAAACTACCTCCATATGTAATGTCAAAGATACAGCCCATGGATGCTGGCATTATTGCATCATTTAAGCTTCATTATCGTCATATACAACTTCAACATGCAATTGATCGTAATGAAGCTGGAAAAACTGATATATATAAAGTTGATCAATTGCAAGCCATGAGATGGGTAAAAGTTGTCTGGGATGAAGTATCTGCTACAACAATCAAGAATTGCTAGTTTCACACCAAAATTGTATCTTTTCGTAATGAAGATAGAATACCAGTTGTCTCGTCCCCCCTTGTTGAAGACATAGAAAAAAGCTTACTTGTTGATCCGGATAATGAATTGGCTGCTGAGGAGCTTCAACAAACGCTAGATATGTTGTATATTCACAACCCAATATCAATTGAAGATTTGTTGGATTTTGAAGAAGAAAGAATAGATATACATCAACAATTTAGTGATAATGATTTTATTCAAGGTGCTACGGAAATAGAACAAGTAGAAAATGAAATTATGATACAAGCCTTAACCGGAAAGGAACAGTTGGATATTTTGCGCAATGCTCTGAGAATTGTTGATGAGAGAATTGATGATGGTGGGATCACAATGAGGTCTTTACGTAAGCTTCAATTTCGTATTCGTGAGGATATTCAAAGGAAGAGGCTGAAAAACAGGTTCAATCTATGCTGGATCAATTCTTGAAAAATAAATAGAATTACAATTGGATTTAATTTAGGAATAAATCAAACAAATGGGTAAGATTTCTTTATAATTATAACTTTTAAAAATTATAATTTTATATTATTTTACCGTAATGTCATAGTGGACAAATATTATAAATAAATAGCCAGTCACTTATTATCGGGTATAGAGCATTGATTGTATCTTGCTTTGTGTTTAGCTTGTAAAACACGATAAATTAAAATAATTTAAGCACTTCTAAAGAACACTCTATAATGTAAAACTATACTGTATGTATCATAAAATAGCCACATTCCACCAATCTTAATGCTTCTAACAGATCCGGGTACAGTATAAGGAAAAAAAAAATCAAAATGCTTTGCATTTATAGCATGCAACTTAGATTTTTAGGAAGAGGTCTTTGATATCGATATGTCGAAATTAAATTAACATATGTCACGTGAAAGACAGTAAGTTTTATATGATTTGATTAGACACATCTCACGTGACACTATTTAGCTAATCGGGAACTTAAATATAATGACTATCAGATATCAGAAATTGCAGGTTATCAGGTATTAATTATGGAACAGGTATGGTGGATCGATTTTTGACCAATTATAGCAGGTTATTGGTTTTGACAGGATCGGTTTGGGGTGGGTCGATTGTACATAACTTTCTATTTATGTTGAAGAGATGTAACATTGGTTGTCATAGTGATACAATAAGGTTCTGCTTAATATTAAACTTTTATTATTATTATACTATACCAAATCACTATTTTTATTTAACATTAGAATTATTATATTTATATTGCTTATATATTCCATCTACTACTTTTTTGTATGTTTTGCAATATAGGTGTGAATGATGATTGCATTTGTTGTAAACTTTATATTCTTAAAAATATGCCACTTTTTAGTATAATTTCGCTTTTTTATTTATATATTTGTTATTTGGATTTTTTATTTTTTTTATTTTTTATTTTTTTACTAGCCTCTTTGGTATAGAGATTTTTATTCAAATATACTGGGTGGGAACTTACAACGAAACTCTAATTATATTAGAAAGTACAACTAGCCATACATACAACTTTTGATTGTCTATTTAAATAATCTGCATATTAGTAATTTTTTTTTTTTAGTATTAAGGTGAGGCCTTGCTTATATCTTTATTAATAATTTTATTGGGTAATAGTAACCACAGATTAAATAATCAACTAGTGTATTGTTACTATAATTTGTAAAAATACAAATAAAAAGTAAAACTATATTGCAAGAATAAAAGCTCAGACTAATTTATCTGCGACCTAAACCTACTAGAATAGCCAAAGCTCACCTAGGTTATAATAGAAGAAATAAAATTAAATAAAGCACTGTATTTAGCCCAATAAGCTGACCAGAAATCATATTTCCTTCTAGCCTGACCAATAGACGGACAGTTATTAGAGTGGGTGTGTAGTTTGCATATTAGTATTATGCTATAAGGACTATACTAATTGCTATATTTATAATCTAACTAGTAATTATCTATTTAAACTCTCTATATTGTATACATCACTCTTGTATTATCAGAACATCTCTTTTATATTTGTTAGTCAAGAGTTCCAAATGCTTACCATAACCTTAAAACTGATTTATCCTCAAGACATTGTTGCTAGAGCTTTCCATACCCACAATCTGGCTAATCTAGTCTTTTAGTAATTTACGCTGAGTCTAAAAACAAAGTACTTGTAAGCTGAAGCCACTACTATTATCTACTACTACTCTTATGAAGTTCACTCAGACTGCAGCATCTACATTATAAACTACTACCAACTTTCCTAGTGCATCAACAGTGTTTCCAAACTTCCAATCCAGATAGTTCAGAAAAAACTTGTGTTTCTTGGTATTCTGATGAATCTTTTTCCATATATATCTGTGGCCTAGTTGGTGTAGTGTTTTGCCAAACACCCAGTTCTCGTTTAGTTTGTTATCAAGTCCAATTGCTAATAATCATTCTTTATATAGTACTATTGAAGATTGTACTACCTCTTCATTTAGGACTTGCCAAGCAAGATTTTGTGTGCCCTAATTCTTTAGATTTACTCAAATATATTATTTGGGTTTTATATAACTCATGCATTACACTACTGTTCTACATCCTCTCAGTACAAGCTGGTACGATCAAGATTACAGATGCTAACCTATCAGATTACAAACAGTTTGCTGTAACACATTTTGTAAAATCCGAATTTTGTTGCTAGTGGGATTTAAACTCTTGTCCTGCTACTTGGAGATGCGACAACTTACTAACTTTACTAAGTCACCACACCCTATTTGGATTTTTTATTTTTTTTTATAATTCAGCAATCCTGCCTCTGTTTATTTGAGATTAAGCTATTCAAGAATTATACATTTCTATCTG